AATGGCATGTAACAGCATTATGCAGGCACAGATGCACAGCTGACCCTCAATAGATACAGTCCACGATGAGACATCAGGATGCAAAACAAGCACGTTTTTGAAGGTTCCTCCATTGTAATGGGTTTGTGTGGTTTGGTTTTTGGGTCTCAGGCTGGTGAGTGAAGCCATGGGCGGAGCAGTAGAGGCCAAAAAGTTGCACGAATTCCCATGGGTGCTGCACCTCAGCGAGCTCAAGTTTCAGCTCCAGTCTAATGTTGTTCCCATTGGTTTGATCAGCAAGGGAATCTACTGCCACAGGGCACTTCTCTTCAAGGTACCACTGACCTCGCTACACCACAGCATCATCCTTTACATTTCCCCCACATCTTTTGATATCTTATTTTAAACCCCTTGTCACTTAAGTTCTCCCCATCCTCCACTTACAGTATTTCTTTCCCTCTAAGTCTCTCAAGTTTTCATATACACTATTGCCATCTTCATTCAATCCAGCTTGTTTCCAAATCATCATACCCCCATCATGTCTCCTGTCTTTAACTTTTCAGTGTTTGGCTGATTGCATCGGAATGAGCTGCACTCTTGTTAGGGGTGAGTACAACCGCGCTTGGAACGAGGTGCTCCTCTTCAGTAGGAATCCCTCCAGCAATGGGCGCTCTTCACAGTCATGCCGCTACATAGTGGACCTCATGCACCAGCCTGGAAACCTGTTGACAGCCAATACCCCTGCTGCTGTGCAATACCAGACTATATAGAACAACACTGTACTGTATAGAAATGCTGTACTACATACTACTGTGACCAGAAATTTTACCGAGATGCATTATAGATAAGTGATTTGTACTGTATGTGTATTTTCTGTATGGCAGACCTTTACACCATACAGTATTCTCTGTGCATGCACAAGTCTAAATTAAAAAATGCTGTTAGTCTATAAGGCTTCTCTAATAAATACTCTAATTTAACATTTGGTTCTTCACCACAGATGATTGACAATGTTGTATTTACAGAGACAAGTCAGGTGGGTTTGATTGTGGTGTCCCAGTCAAACTCTGCATGTTTGAGCCTCAATTGTACATCATTAAAAAGAAACATACAGCATGCTAGGACCACTGAGCACCAAATAATGTCCTCTATGTGTGTCAGATTTGGTTACACCTTTTGGTTTATAATGACCTCACAGTAGAATACTACACTGAGAATTGAATTTGCAACACACAGGATAGCCTAATTGAACAACCAAACCAGACAGATTTCTTTCAAGCCATAAAGCTACTGGCCTCAGGGCTGGGCAATATGGTCATGAAAAGAAATTATCTCATACAATATGATAATTATCATTATTTCTTTCATTTTTCATAAAGGCTGATTTCTGCTACTGAGTGGTTTAAACTATTATTTATTTTCAGAACATGACAAAAACTCACCAAAGAGTGGATCACTTAACAAATCTGAGGTAGAACATTCAAAACAATAATGATAAAAACTTTTCTTCGACAAATAGCCTTTGCATGAGTAAGATTAAGTAAAATATTTTTTTCAGTCCCTTTTCCATACAAAATAAATATCTTTATTGAAAAGTTAAGTGCCAATTCGTTCGTGATTCAAATTAATTAAATTAAACGTTTATTGAACATTTGTTATATTGTTATTTAGGAAAATTATATCGCGATAATTATCATTATTATTTAATTGCCCAGCACTGACTGGCCTACACAACATGGTGCTCCTTTCACGCTGTCTTTTTAAAAGCCAGGGAACCCATTACACTTCGACCTATATAGCTCAGGTGTGATTTTTTGACCGGGTCACCCAGGTAAGAGCCTGCACCAGCCGGGGGAGGACCAGCGCCAAGTCGCCGCGGCATGAACAGTCCCGACGCAGAGAGCAGCACTTGGCTTCCACTGATAGGTGCGCTTGACTTTAGACAGACTTGACCAGGACTTGACGCAGCAGCAGCAGCAAACAGCATGTCTCGTTTCGTTGCCCGACTCTTCTTAGTTGTCTCTCAGCAAGCCACAGCGAGATCCGCGATGTTACTGAGGAGGGTCCCAGCATTCATCCGCCCTGTATCCACATGTCCAGGTACTGCGGGAATGTTTGATTTCTTTACTGATTCTTTGAATCCATCTAGTTTCACAGGCTGTAGACTCCTGCAGGTGCACCGTGCTGAAGTTTTCTCAGGAAGGCGCTAATAATAATAAACGGCTACAGGTTATTGCTTGTGCAAAGGGGACTGGTTATCCAATAAATTCTGGTTTAGGTGAATTTTACAGTGTATTTACAAATGTCACCTTTTGGTACCTTCTTACATGTAGCATAAAGTTAATTGTTCCAAACATTTTCTCAATTTGGCTCTCAAGTCTTCCGGGTCTGTGGTGTAATGTGGTTTATATTTTGAAAAGGTTTACTAAATAATTGTAACTTCTGCTCTGTGCAGGCCTGCAGTCTCTTACCCGTTATGATGAGACAACAGATTGGCAAAAGAAACTGACCCCAGAACAGTATGTAGTCACCAGGGAGCGGGGGACTGAGGTGGTGAGTACTGCATACATGCAAACCAGTACAAAGATTTGTGTCAAAGCAACATTATCTTAGTCTAGCAGATTGGCATACATATAGTCTCATAAACATCAGCAGTTCCAGGTGGACTTTGTTCATCACTGTATTGCTGATCTGTGTCAGGTTCAGCCAGTCCAAATACAAACCTCTGGTGTTTTAAGAATTAGAAGCTGCCCTCAGCTTGAAACAAAGAGCGTTTTCTGTATGTAATAATAATAAGTGGACAGTATCGTTGTGAACTTAAGGACAAAAGCTACATGTTGAAGTCATCCTTAACTATTAGTCCTGTGTGTGTATTTGTGAATGTCCTCAGCCCTTTAGTGGGATCTACCTTCACCATTCAGAAGTGGGGATGTATCACTGTGTCTGCTGTGACGCTCCACTGTTCAGGTAACACTTTGCAAAGTGGTGTTTTTTAATTCAGTGACTTTACCCTTTGTAGACTTGAACATGTGGACACTTTGCCATTTCTACTTTAATCACGTTGAATGGAAAGTCAGAACTCCGCGCCAGTAAACAAGCTGAAGGCAAGAGAGAATTGTGTTCAAAGTTTGTTTAAGGATGTATCGTGGCTCATTGAGGAAATGTTCCTTCGTCTCTTGACAGTTCAGAGGCTAAGTATGACTCTGGGACAGGCTGGCCAGCGTTCAAAGAGGCTCATGGGACGTGGGAGCGGGATGAAAGCCACGCCTCCATCATTCGTCGCCCTGACAACAGCCTTGGTAGTGCGGGGACAGAGGTCCTTTGTAAAAATGTGAGTTGTGTTGTGAGCTATGCAGCCAAAGTTCATGTGTGCTTAGCATAGATGTTCTAGTTAATAAAGCTTTGCATGCAATTTTTATTTTTTATAAAGCAGTATAGTTAGAATGGTTTAGTGTGTATCTTATCTATACTTTAATAATTTCAATTCAAATACAACCATTTTTGCATTTTTGGTCGGCTTATGACTTTTGTGTGTCTGTGTTTGATGCAGTGTGATGCCCATTTGGGTCATGTGTTTGATGACGGACCGGATCCAATAGGCCAGCGGTTCTGTATCAACAGTGTGGCCCTCACATTTAAACCCAGAGAAAACAACAAACCTGACAAACCCGAGGAAAACTGATGAAACACATGGGCTTGCCTAAATCATCTCATTGCAGAGCTTTCATTCTGGGATTTGGAGCTATACAGGTCTGGAAATGACAGGCTTGTGTGTGTGTGTGTGTGTGTGTGTCACAACATGTTGGAAATGAACTTCCTGTGGTTTATTAAACTGAAAGAAACTGGACCGAGTCTCTTGTTCAGAAACGTTGGATAAATGCAGTGGAGAGAAGTCTATAAATCTGTGGAACATACGTTACATGATTTACACAAACCCAAACTCTAACTGTACCATCAGCTCCTTCAGTCACCCATCGAATCACTTACTGAAAAATATACTTCCCAACCAAGTTTGATTGTTTCTCTTTTTATTGTTTTCTATATTTTGTCGAGTAGGAAACTTAATGAATGTTAACTGAATGATCTGATGAATTGTCTCTAAGTGTAGTTTGGATGGGTAACTTATTTAGTAAGATGTATAGTACCTCATAGGGGATTACCCATTGATGAAAATGGATTATCTTTAAACCTCATTATTGTGTTTGATTGTCAGAATACACTGGGCCTGAGAATCATGTTTTTCTGTACAGATTGCAAAACACAGGAAGTCATGACATTGCTGCTTAGCCTTTGTTTTTCCAACGCGTTCTCATCTCAATGTGTCATAACTGACGCTTTCAGACAATGTGACAAAGCGTAAGTATTTTACGTTAAAGGTACCCTTCAGCATCCGTATGAAACGCCACCATTTGTTACGTCCCAGCAACACAAAGGAGGCTAACCGGACAACATGAATAAAATCACTGACTTAGGTAAAGGTGCTAACATTTCTGATGGTAGTGGTAAGGGTAGTGGGCTTCGGGGGGCTGTCAACACCTTTAACACAAACGTGGCTAGCTAGCTAGCACTAGCTAGCTAGTACTTCCGGTCTGTACGAGACGCTTCTATGAGACGCCTCTATGAGACGCTGAAGGGTACCTTTGGTGTCAAATAACTATGTCACTTTTTCTGAAAGCGTTGGTATTGGACACCCTGAGATGAGAATGGTCTGGCTTTTCAGTGTGGTGCCACATTTATAGATCAAATTGACTTGTCTGTGTTAGGAATCATGAAATTTTGACTGGTAATTTGTCAATAAATTCACATTTTGTTTTTTCTCTGAATCTATGGTTATGCTTTACTTACTGTAGAGTTTATTAAGATTTTAAAGTCTGTGTTTAATGAGAATTTATGGCTAGCCCCTGCAGTTCAGATGCACACACAGCACGCCAGTATGGCCTCATCTCTGCCGGTAAATCAAGTTAATATTTAACTTGTTTGTCTCCTGCTCCCTGTGTGTTAATCCATTTCCTCTGGGTCTGCGTGTTTAAGGTTGAGTAAAGCAGATCGGCAATTGGCAGACAGAGATAGAGGGGACAGAGAAAAGAGTTCAGGGGGCCAAAAAGACAAGTCCAGAATACAGGAACCTGAGGAATCCTATAGGAGAAAAGGACTTATTCTTGAGTTGAGTGTATTGTTGTCGGTGCTGGGATGGCTGGAGTATGGCATTGCATGTTGGCAGTGGTTGCGTTGATGTGTGTGTGTCTGTGGGGTTCCACTGAGGCTGTAGGGGGGGCTAAGAGTCGACCCCGACCCCAAAGACGACCTCCTAAGAAGCCAAAGGTCAACCCTGTTGACGTGACCCCACCCGCACAGAACATAGACATACAGCGGGTAAGAAACTGGAGGAAGAGGCAGACACATCACATACAGTTTATCTGTTTGACTTTGTGTGTTATGTCTACGTCTATGTATTAAGAGCTTTTTTTTGAATAATTATTTAGAAGTGTGCGCGTATACATATATAGTATCATTTTTAGTTGGTTAGTGTTGGAGTTGGTGCCTTCAAATAAGCTTCAGAACTAGACATGTAGAAATTGCATATGGTTTAGCATAAAGTGACTATGTTTAACTTCCTTTCATAGTTAATTGTGACAAGGCTGGAAAAGGATTGATGAAAAAGCTGCACAATAAATTAGATAAAGGACTCTTTCCAGGTGGAGGAGTGCAGCTACAGCCTAAAAATACCACAGTAAATAGTTGCCGTTACCTGACCTTTGCACACTGACAGTTTGATTCTGTTTCCAACTTGTTTGTACCATAATGTCACAATAACACAAAAAGGACATAATGAGTGGGAACCATGATAAATTAACTCCACAGAATAGCCTAAAGGAGCTATTGTTGCAGAACATAAGGGAAGTAAACTTTGTGAACCAAGGACCCTAATGCACAGTTGCCCCACACTGACGCAGGTTTTTGTACTTATCTAACATATTGTTAAATTTGAAAAGGTAATAAAACAGCAGAGATTTAAATGCTACTTCAGGCTGACCAGTTGCAAACTTCTACTCAATTACCCATGCTAGGAAGAGAGCAAATTGACATCTTTTTCCAGAGCCTGAAACATTCAAACATGCTTTGTTATGGATTAGAGTGGGGGCTGGCAGTGTGGACATGCTTGTGTAATTGTGTCAATATGGTGTTTTAGGCAATACAGGGGATTTTCAGCGAAATAGAATTTGAACAGTACAAAAGATGATAGAGCAGGAAATTTGAAACAGATGTATCCTTTCCATTAGTATAAGCAGGATCAAGATCATTTGATAAGATTAAATGTTTGTCAGCATCAGCAAAAGCATTTAACAATGCTTCCCAAAATTTTTTCCATTTGCAAATGTCATGACTGAGGCTTAGGAGAACATCTTGTGAACATCTTATCTGTCCTCTGTTTATCCCTGACCCTGCTTGTACGTGTTGCAGATGACAGGAACGTGGTACCTGCTGAACACTGCGTCCAAATGCTCTTACTTGATAAATCATGGAACCAAGGTGGAGCCTACAGTCATGATCCTCACTCGTTCCTCTGCCGCTGACCAAACACTGTCTGTCAGCACCAAAACACGGCAGTAAGTACCACCACCTACATATGTAAACACACATTGTGCATGTAGCTTACTGTGACTCTCTCAGTACGCTGAATCATCAGCAGATGGGGCAAATATGCCACAAATATGCTTTTGCAACACCGACTTCATGCTTCAACCACCTGCGTTTGATTTTATTTGTGTGTGCTCAAACACAGGAATGGTTAAATCCGTCAACTCTCCCTTATCATTTTATTAACTTTTAGGTCATCCTGACCTGGCTTTTGCAGAACCACAGGGAGTACCAAATACCTATTTTAAATGAAAAACTGTCTTGTTTTTTCAGGACATTCCGTGATATATTTGTTGTGATTTGTTTATAAATCCTTTTTGGCCCAAGCAAAGGAAAACTGGTTTTTGTTTTGGTCCATTTCGCATGCGACAAGAGAAAACTCAATCTGAGGCCTGAAGCTGAGACATGTAGTTAGATTATGAAAAATATATGAAATGTAGCTATGTGATAATCCAATACTTATAGGAAACTGCACTCTTTAAGGGGTTTCAAACGTTTTTAAAACTACAAAGGTGAGCAAATGTCTCACCTGACAAACTCTTCTCTCCTCTCCTCTCAGTAATCACCAGTGTTGGGAGATATTACAGGTCTACCATCTAACACCAACTCCAGGCCAGCTAACCCTTAAAGGTCAGTGCCTCTCTTTTATTTACCTATAAGGCTTGATTTGATAAACAATCCCATTGATTGTCTAACTGTGCCCTCTGTTGTTTCCCCCAGGAGCTCGTCCTGAGCTGAATACTGAGATAGTGATCGGGGAGACGGACTATGACTCCTATGCAATCATGTACTATCAGAAACAGGACAAGATCACCATGAAACTCTATGGTGGGTTCCCCAGCCATGTGACCGTTGTTTTGTATTTAAGGTCTGAATGCCAGGTGTTAATTATGTTGTTTTACGCTGCTAAATTGAAACTGAACCGTATTTTTAAAAAATGCATTTGTAAAGTCAAAATGTTTGCTTTTGTGCTCTGTATGCAGGCAGGTCTGTGGACGATCTGTCAGAGCCAATGTTGACCAAGTTTGAGCAGCTTGCTGAAAAACAAAACTTGGGACTGGCCTACCTCTTCCCCTTCCCCACCTACAGTACGTCCATATCCACCTGAAAAATAAAATAAAATAAACTTTGTTAGCAGCTGCAACATTAGTTGGCATAACAAGCCGCAAGGTTTAGGGTTAGAAAAAAATGACACATACAACTTCCTTTAAATAACTGTGTTAATGTTCTTTTTTTCCCCTTTCTAGGTCACTGTGGTGCTGTGGACCAGGACCATGTAATCAGTAAGTTCAGTGTGTAAAAACAGTCAAGCAATAATTCTTTGCTAGAAAAAAATGTGGTAATTATGAGACTGATATAAAAAAGGGCCAGAGGTAAATGGAGCAGCTGCCAAAATTAGCAAATACAGCTTTTTATTTAATCGCCATGACATGTCGACAAGTGTAAACTGCCACTTTCAGACAAGAAGGGTTTTCTGGAGACCATAAAAAAGCATCAAATAAATTTCAGTTCTTTAGCTGTCAGTGTAGCTTGCATGTTTGATGTATAGTATATCAAGCATTTTCACAGGTACATCGTATTACATTCAGAATATTGTACACGCTCTGTAGCCCTTATTTCATGCATTTCATCCTGTTAAGGGCAACCGTGAGAATGTTCGGTGCTTCTGTGCATTACATGTCGATCATCATTTCACGTTCGCAGGAGCAGTTCTGCTTTGTGCCAGTGGCTGAATGAAAAAATATTGATTCTCCTGCTCTGTTTAGTTATTCCTGAAGTTGTAAAAGCTATTTGGAGGGAGTTCGGGTTAGGGACATGAAGCGTGTACAATACAAGATGAAGAAAGCAATACAATTAAGGACAATAGAGGAATGAGAAGGAGCTCAGAGAGGCAGCATGTAGCGCTAAAATATTTTCCCCTCTAACTCGGATAATTAAGGGATTAGTGCAGCAGAACCAGAGTTTGTGATTGTTAGAACAGTGGAAAGACTAACCACAGTGGTTTTCATGAGTTTTTTTTTTTTTTTGTCAAGTCTGAATGAAGTGTATTTTACTATGCCTTAAATGCAAATTAGTTTGGTGAGAGACTTGAATCCAAAAGGTGTAGGCTACAGTTGTATTTTTCAGTTTTAAAAGGAAAATAGGGGTAAGAATAATTATTAATAATAATTAATTATATTTAATTTCTTGACATTCTGTGAATTTATTTATTTTATTTATTAGCTATACTTGGTTGGTCCAGGGGAAGCAGAGAGAGAGAGGCTGTTATTTGGTTGGGGGGTCAACTTGTGTAACAATCATTTATTTAAACCTTGTCAACAACATGTTATCCAACCTCCACTGCCGGACGAAAACAGCAGCACAGCTTCTACGTAGTTAAACCTGTCACTCTTTGTTACACAGACTGTGTTCCCACATGCTGAAGAGGTAGAGCTGTGCAAGGGACGGATCCGGCCTCGCAGCGTTTGGCAGTTCTCACCCAAATATCTGAATATTGTGTCATTTTAAAAATGTGAACATCAGCAAGAAGGTTGTTTAAGTGTAAGTTAGAGTAGAAAAAAATGGTCTACTTTAAATACTACCTATTACAGACGAATAAAACAAAATGGAACACAATCAAGTTGTTGTCAGATGTTTTCACTTTTAAAAAAATCTAAATGGGCATCATCTGCCACCAGCTGGCTCTGTGGTGAGAGTCCATTCCTATGCAAGGCTTATTATCATGTTAACGCCATCCCATTTTTGTATTCTGAGATTAGCATGTTTCCGTATGCATGCTTTGGTGTGTGTGTGTGTGTGTGTTTGTGTGGACACAAAAGAGGAGGTGGGGTGTTGGGGCTCGGGTTAATGTAGCCCAGATGTGGAGCCTAAAAGAGGTTGAGAGAGTTTGGTTACAAAACTTGGTTACCAAATGTGCTTTTTGCAAATGAGCACCTGTGTGTGTGTGTGTTTGTTAGATAACCAGCTGATTGCAAGTCTGTGCCTGTCTTGTCTCTTAACAAAGGAAGCTCTCTTATATACACAATGATTGATTTAAGGGGTGTCACTGATGATACAGTTCATCCAACTCTTCTTCTCACTGTGTTGTTACAAAACGGAAGCGAGTGAAAGGCATCTCCGTTAAATTCCTCCTGTTTCAAAAGTTTTATGAAACTTAACACACAATGCTATGAGCAATCAAATCATTGTGTGCAACACTGGCAGAGCTTTATATGAGAAATAATAATCTTAAATAGCACTGCTTCGACACTGCTGACAATGCAGTTTGCTGCAAGAGAATGCATACTTACTACAGTGGGATTATTTTATCCAGAGTTACATTTAAAAAAAACTCATATTTCAAGAGGTTATCAGCTCATTGTTTATGTGAGCCCTTTTCCCAGCATGCTAAAGTTTAGCAAAAGTGCTTCCAACCTCTCATTTGTGATTGTGAATGGAGTCTTTTTGGTCCCAAACAGTGAAGAATGTGCACTCTTACCAAACAGCTGTTTTGATAGTCCAGGCATGCAAGAGCATTTGTGAGGGAGAAAGGGAGGGGTGTTAAAAGAACCCTATGTACCCACTCTATCTTTTCTTCTCATTCTCCCCTTCCTCACCCCCTCCCCCCATCCCCATCCACACATGCCAGTTGTGTAACAGCACTGATTTGCACGCCAGTGGGAGAAGGCCAAAGAGTTTTGTAATGCAGAAGCTAGCAGTAGAAGGGAGGGAGGAGACAGGAGGAGGAGGAGGAGCGGGACAGGATATAAAGAGCCTCCACTTGCCTTTAGTCCTTACCTCGTCCCGATCCTTCACTCACCGGCAGAGAAGCTCAGAACGCGCAAAGGAGAAGCCATGAGGAACACACTGCTGAGGATGCTGGCCGCCCTGATGTGCGTACTCGCTGTCTGCGCCGACGTCGCGCCTGTACAGGACTTCGACCTGGAGAAGGTAAGAGAGAGGCAGAAGTATTACTACTGCAAGACATAGCATACTGATAGCTGATATTCCAAATTAGTAGCCGTGGTTGATTGAGATTTTTCAATGCAATCATTTGATGGAGCAAAATTTACTTTTGAGAACGGTTTATATGGAAGATATGAGTGGTGTGATGCATGCGCTGCACTTTAGATAACTCTCACCCTTTATTTCACCCCGTCTGTCTTTCTTTTAGATGGCAGGCAAGTGGTACATTGTTGGCTTTGCCACTAACGCTCAGTGGTTCGTGAACAACAAGGCGGGGATGAAGGTGGGCACTGCCATGTTAGTGCCAACTGCTGGAGGAGACCTGGACCTCTCTTATGCCAACCTGAAGTGAGTGATTCATGTGTAAATATACCTTCCAATCAAAAAATGGTTCCCGATGCTTCTTCTGTAATAAAAAATAATAAATAAAACAAAGAGATAAATAAACTGACATATGACCGTTTTCTCTCTTTTAGAGATGACGGTACCTGCTGGAGAATGACTCATCTTGCTAAAAAAACAGACACTCCTGGACGCTTCACCTTCCACAGCCAGGGTGAGTAGAGCACAACCTAATGCAGAAAAAGACACACACACACACACACACACACACACACACAAAGAATCAACGGCCTGACTTGTCTATTTCTGCTTTCATCAGTTTGGAACAATGACAACGACATGCGCATTGTTGATGTTGTGTACGATGACTACGCTGTGATCCACACTATCAAGACAAAGGACGGAGAGTCTGAGGTCCTCAACAAGCTTTACAGTAAGTCTGGATCAGTCTCACCGCAGCGGCTTTGTCCCTGTATGAAAGCACTCTATGTTGAATTAGTGAATGGTTAAAGCAACCCACTGTGTGTTTGCAGGTCGCGCTCCTGAGGTCAATGTCAACCTGCAGCAGAAGTTCACACAGTTCTCCAATGAGACTGGCATCCTTCCCGACAACATTGTCATCTTGCCTAAGAGTGGTAAGCTATGTCACATGCACAGGGACTTAATATAATATAAATACATTTGACCTGTTTGTGAAAACGATCCAAAGTTTTGCTCACTGGCCTCCTCCTGTGTGTTGTTACAGCCGAGTGTCCCGAGGTCTGAAGACTCCCCTGTCATCCTCCACCCCTTGCTCTCTGAAGTCCCGGAATTTCATCTCACAAGAGATTCTTATTTAATCCCCCTCACTATGATGTCTGCAGTATCACAAAGCTGCACTTGCGACAATGAAAGGCAAGCATTTAACTATAACCCCTGCTGCTACCAAAGACCGATCCTGATTCTAATTTAGTCCTCATTCTCTCTCAAACTCACGCATTAACTGTGAGACTGTGAAAGCTGTCCGTTTACTTTTTGTACAAGCATATCTTTTGGAACTGCTGATTTTCTTTTGTAGTGTTTTATCTTTTGTTGAAATAAACGCAAATCCAATAAAAGTTATAAACACGTGTTTCAGTTTTCAGAATGATTCCCTTCTCGTACAAAAACAGTCAGAAAGTCTGTGAACTTTTGGAAGTCACATCAATATTGTAAATTATGTCCCATAGTACCCCCTATTGGGTGATTAAACAGGCTCAAAACTAGATCCCTAGAAACGCCAAGAAATGACTAATGTTCCGTTTACAGTGCGTGTGAAAACAATGACATCTGAAGACTAGATCAAAGTATCTTGGGGTTGTGGAGTTGGAAAGAAGTGAGCTTATCAGACCTCATGTTTGCTTGGGGCTAAATTATCTACACCACCACCTGCACACACACATTCGAGTCTCTGACAGGTGTTGTGCCGAATTCTGCCTGCCGAGAATTGTATGCACCTCATGGATGATAACGGTCATTTTTGCTGAGAAAAGAGGTGGATGCAAATCTCGGCCGGTAGCCTATAATTTGATCTGCCGAATTATGCATCCTTTGGGTCCTTCTCAGACAATTTGAGAATAATAGTTTACTCTTACATCCTTTGCACTCTCATCACTGCACTATTTGTCAATATGTCTATATTGTTTTGTTCAGAGTGTGTATATTTTTGTTGTCTATTCTGTAGTTTGTGTCTGATTTTATTTTATTATTGTGTTATGGTATTTTTGTACAAGTAAGCACATCGTGAGCAATGTACAATCCTGAGTCGAATTCCTCGTAGGCCTATGTGTACACATACCTGGCAATAAAACTGATTCTGATTCTTAAATATATACTTCGAATTGTTTGTGCAATTCTCGGCAGGCAGGCAAAACTCGGCATAACACCGGACTCTGTCGGTGGTCCAGTTGCATTGTGGGCAATGCAGGCGCCAGGTTTTGACAGGGAAGAAGAATGCAAGAAATAAATAAAACAACAAAACTGGCCTGAGTTTGAGAAGCACAATGTTAAATACTAAAACAGTAGGCCCACTCTGGCTGGCTGGTGTAAAACTAGCTAGATCAGCGACTCGTTAGTCCTTTTTTTCGCCCATCTTGTCAGTTCCTAATGGGTAACGTTAGTTTTTATTGTTTTATTTTATTATTATTTATTTTAGATATTTGTTTGTTTAGAGCCTACTGATTCCATAGAATTTATTTCTTCTTTCTTCTCATAGGCTATCTATTTTGTTGGTTCCTGTTGATCTGGTTGTGACCTGTTGCATGCAATTAACCAGGGATTTATAGACTGTGTAAATGGTCGTATTGAATTTCACTGAATACTGTTTTGAAGGAGTGGTTGAAAGAAGGTGCACCATCTGACCACAAGGGGGCAGTCTATGCCCTCTCTTAGACCCCGTCACATCATATTGGAAAGATCATCAAAAGCCAATTCTTAAGCACCTGGGGGCTGTTCCAAAAGAAAACAACATTAAAAAAGTAAAAAAGTGCGGATATAATGATGGTGTATAAGCTATTCGGACAAGCTATTCCATTTTTGCATAACAAAGCAAAGATTTTTGTTTCTGTGACCAGAAAATGAGAAAACATTTGTTTACATAATCGTATTTTTAATGAATTTATAGCTGAGACCTTAACCTTAAATTTGCTGTTTAAGAAAATTAAGAAAAACGTGCCAAATAACCCCACCCTTGCTAAAAATAATCCGTAGTATTATTAAAAGTATACTATAAAAATTGTATAGTGTCCTATAGTAAGTTTGTAATGTCACATCATATGTAACAGAGACAGCACCCGGATGAGAGGATGGTGATGGCATGGTGGATAAGACACATGCCTTTGGTGTGAGAGACACTTAACCCCTAGTTGCTCCAGAGGCGTGCGAGCAATTGTAGGTCGCTTTTGATAAAAGTGTCAGCTAAATGAATAAATGTAAATGTAATGAGAGAGATGTGACCCACGACAGGTTAAAATAATGCAGCGCAGTGAGGATACGGATGTTTCACCGAGGACCAGCGTCTGTCTGTTAACAGAGACTCCAGTTAGAGTAACATTAGGCTTCATGATCAGAGGCTTTTATATCAAGTAAACACTTCTGTCCATATTTGCAAGCTCCTCTGTTCCTCTCTCTCTGCAGCGAGTCTGCATCGCACTTCTTTATTATCAATGGATTGTTTATCCAATGCCTGGTTTAGAGACATGGACGGGAGGAAGGGGTACTGCAACCCCCTCATTCAGTACCCCCTTCTTCCCGTGTCCATGTCTCCAAACACTGAGTGACATTTGAAGGCCTAGTTTCTTGTGGGTGAATTATTCCATTCTTGAATGTCAGGGGGCCCTTTGGAGGGTGGGGCTGCTTTCAATGGTTTAATTATTTATATTATTTGTTTATATATATTATACAGGGCAAGAGATCAGAAAAAAAGAAAGAAATCAGTCGGTTTAACTAAAACTTCATAATGCTGTGAGTGAGTGTCTGAAGATGGACATATGTCAGCGCGAAAGTGATGCATAGAAAAAAGACTGCTATTAAAGATCAAACACTCTTTATTGAACTCAATAGAACTGAAAGCAAACACATGGGTTATGATTCTGTCTGTTGGAGTTGATAATCGTCGCTATGATCAAACCAGGTGTCAGGGGCGTGTGCGTGTTTATGTATAGTCTGAGTAATATAATGATTAAAAAATAAGGAAAGTCACTCGTTTGCCTTCATGGATGTGATGTGTGGACGGAGGAAGTCTTCTTTGAGGCTGCAGTAGAAGGCAGGCTGAGTTCAGCTGTCCTAATGTCAGTGATAAAGTGATCTACAGTTATTACTCAACCATGAGGCGACGATGATGTACAAAAGCTTGCATGTAATAAGGTGCCATTGCGGCAGTTTAATAAAACAGACAAACACACACAAAAAAGTAAAATTCACAATGAAATAACAAAGTTGGCAGCCGCTTTCAACTGTGACACATTGTTCTGTAAATGCTGTGGTAAGGTAAACGTGAGCAACAAGGACAGGAAAAACAACATGGTTAGAAAATATACATTGTACATCTTTTGAATGATGCTGGAAAACGGTGGCACTGTTAAGAGTGAAGCTCAATTCAGCGATGGCAAAGCAGCAGCCTCCTCATTCTCAACACGCTATTCTTCTAAGTGAATGAACAGCCTTGACTCATGCTCTGTCAAACATGCATGCTTGTGTATGTGCGTCACAGAGCATAGGTGTAAACCTCTTGTGTATTGTATAGCGTGCGGCTCTCCTATACATCAATGTAGCTGTTCCTGCTGCGTAGGAACCTACACGGATGTGCTGGAAAAAGTCAGACTTGTTTAGGATTTGAGAAAAGTTCGGCGGATGTTTTCATTCTGATTTCTTAATCAAACTTTGACTGAGATTCATGGATAATTGAACACAGCACCTCTCGACTCAGGGATTGCAAAAACAGCTGAAAACTCTTGAGAATTCTTGCAGCAGCAGTCAAGTTTTTGTAAGTTTGTGTTAAGTAGTTCTGGGCAAGGCGACATGGCTCAACATCTTGAAGGCACATCGGATTAGTAAGCCAATTATCATCTTAACCTCTCCCAGATCTTGAACAAATATTAGGTGTCACCGATTTCTTTTTGTTTTATGGTTCTTCGACCTCGTAATGCATGAAGTTTGGTGCATCAATACAACTCATTCAGTGTCAGGCAAGTTGTTCGATCTGTTTTTTCTAGCACACTTTTTGTCCAATGTAACAAATCCTATTCATCTGAGCTACACATAAACGCACAGATGCATGCACACACAGTGGAAACCACAGCCCAACGTCAGTCTAAGATGTAAAAATATTGAGTAAATTCCTTCAACTCAAAGTCAAACATTTAATGCAAAAATCGGAGCCGGTCGTGTAATGATGTAAGACTCACGTGTTTGGCAAAGAAACAAACTGTCTGCTCAAGTCTGAATGAGTAAAAGCTCTCGGTTTCACCCTTTCCAAATGAAAAGAAAGCTGCCGTGCTGAACCAACCATGGAGTGTCATGATTTCCCATCATGCTCTGAGAATCCCCTATCCGCCCTTCCTCAGAAAGGAATGTCCCATACAATCGAACGTCATGAGATTTAAACATAAAACTCTATAATTCATACATATATAATGTAATGGACAGACGCATGATTTTACTGTAATATAGATCTGACATTTCTCATTAATGTTTATGTTTTGGATTCTGAATAAATCTTTTTAGAAAAAAGAAAAAAAAACACAAAACATTGTATTTACAAAGTGACTTTTGGCATCCATATTCAACTCTATATTGCCACATTATAGGTGGCATGTCATTTGACGGATATGAGTTTTGACAGACTGGTGCCAACAGCAGCCTGATAAATAAAAAAAAAAAAAAAAAAAAAAGGGGTTTGGCATGTTGATTTGATCATTTTTGATATAAGACTTTTGTTAAAAAATAAAATCAAAATGTAACAGAGACTGGCAATAAATCTGTGCTATCACACGATCCAGTACGTATAATTATTGGTCATATACAGTATTCAAAGAACTCCTGAAAACTCCCAAGCACGATACAAAGAAGGACAAGCCGGCTAGTATATACATGTACAGTCTCTTACAGCCGTGCTCCGCTGCATAACTGTCCCTATTCTTTTTCTAATACTCTGGATATATAAAAAAAACAAAACAAACAAACAAATAAACAGAAAACATTTCTGTACACGTCTTTCCCACATCACCGCCCTTTCTGGGAGATTATAGTCCTATTGAATGGCCTTTCCTTCATCTCTCCCTGTGATTGGTCATTGAATTAAACCTCCTCCGTCTCTGTGGCAACTGGTGGTCTGACGCATCCCTTCTTCTCTCAAAGTCCTGTAATTGGCTGTTAGATGAACCACTCCTTCTTTGATTCGTCGATGGTTTCGGGGTTGTCGGTGCCGATGATGGCCGTGTCCGCCGACTCCCCGGCCGACTCCCCGCTGCCCTTGGCCTCGTTGGTGTGGTAGGTGCCTTTGTGGCGGAACATGTAGCGGATCAGGAACACCAGAGTACATAAGATGGTGAAGATCACTACGGCGATGATTCCTGCAGAGGACACAGACATTGA